TAAAGGAGCTTCATGAACTTTTAAACAGCCTAATTCTTCATGGAGTTTCTGGAAAACTGGGGCCAAGAAAGAAATTCAACCAGAGATACAGTTTTAAACAGTTTGGGACGGATCACTTCACAAGTGGATGAATTAAATAGCCAAATTATAGACCTCCCAAATGTTACTCTGCTGAATGACACTAACACAATCTGGATTAAGAATGAGGCCTTTAGAATCCGGACGAGCATGAACAAGATATGGCGTAAGAATATAGGAGAAACGGGTGATGTCCTGAGAAATAGAGTGACAGTCCATAGACAACAAATTAGAGGACCCGCACACATGTATGCTGGGAGTCAGCAAACATATTGATGAATGTGCTGCGGGATTGACCGCTCAGTTCACTATCTTTCCGTTTTACTAGATTCTCGACCCTTGCTCGCGCGTGCTTCGAATTACAATAACCACTGTAATTATAATTAGATCTATGACGTAATAAGTCAGTAAACACATTTTGCTATGCCTGAAGAGCCGCAGCAGCGGTGAAACGCATAGCGCAAAAGCAAAGAGAAAGAGAAAGAAAAAGAGGACTTTCGTTTTTCATTTATTTCAGTATATATATATAGTAGCAAATGGACTACTCAAGTTATGCACATATGGATTTTAATACAGCCTGTTTCGTAGACCAATAAACGTTGATCCACTCATCAGTCAAACTCCATACACACTGAGGCATCGTGGTCACGATGAGTAGTCCATTTGCTACTGTAATCGCTCCTTCATTGTCGAGCACTGTCCTGGATCCTACGTTGCCTATTTCGCTTATATATATATATATATAAAAGGATGTACTGCCGCAATTTTTAAGGGTTACAGGACCTGCTCTTTCATAGGGATAATCTAAAATGGGGATGAATACATGTTCATATGAAGAAGGAAACAATGCATAACGAGGAAGACGATTTAATAACATTACAACAAAGTTAAAAACTAATTAAACAAGCAAGGTGAAGTATTTGAGCCTGGAGTCCACATTTGAAAGCCAGCACTCAAGATCAATAATTAACATCAGCTTTATGTTAGCAATTGTGATGTCACCGTTTATTTAAATGTTGGTTGCAGCTCTTCTGATTCTCACCATCTTCCATTGTTTTCCTAAGAACAGTCGAACTGTTTGGTCCATCACCAGCAGAAGTAAAGGCCAAAACTTGAAATTCATATTCAGTGAATTTATCAAGCATGGTAACTCTTGTTGATGTGTTTCCATTTTCGATAGTCAAGGAAATTGCCAAGCCTGAGTCTTTCTTTTTATAGAACAGTTTAAATCCTTTGATGATTCCGTGTCTAGAGTCTTTCCATGGTAGCTGCCATGATGCTGTAATACTAGTTGGAGATTCCACAGTTACAATGAACCGAGAGGGAGGTCGTGAAGGAGCTGCGATTAAGCAGTCATATTTTAGCTAGTACACGTGTATCATTAATTAATGAATCGGACTGAGTGTCATTTCTTCTAAGAAGTGGACATTGTTAATGGTGCAGTTAACCTTATGTTTCAATTTAGAGGTTTTTATCCAGAAATCAATGCCTTCATGAGAAAGCAGCAAATTCAGACCTGAGACGTCTGAGTTGTAAATGTAATTAAATGATATGAATCCTTGGTTAAGATAACTTTACAGTAAACTGGTGATCCTAGCGCTGGCAAGAAAGATTTCCAGCGGAAAGGAATTACGGTATGCTTGCTATAAAAAAAAAATACCACATTGCAAGTTTTAGCACTGTATGCTATCCAGGTTCGACTGTTTGAAAAAGTTTAAAATCAAATAAACCTGATTGCCATAACATGACAAATTTCAAGTTAATTTTGGTATTACTTTCCTTATTAATCACTTGAAATGGTGCCAACACCCCAGTTGAATGTTATTCTACTAGAGCCTTCATGAAATTAGACATTTGGCCATACGTTGTACTAACGTTAATAACATGCATGGTCAGGGGTAGGTGACTTTCTATAAGACTCAGAAAACCATAAACACCTGAGATGAAGGTCTATGTTTGGGATCTTATTTGTGTTAAGATCTTTCACATAACAGATTAAATAAGTTTTCTCATGAGTGGCAGATTTCTCCTTTAAAATTGAATAACGTTCTAGGACATTTGTGGCGTCTATGGTTTTCCGAGATTCATAGAAATGGGGGTTATATAAAATCCTATTTCTTACCAGCTTCTTTTGTTTTGTGAAAAATAGCTGTACTATTTGGTCCATCCCCAACAGATGTAAATGCCAATATTTGAAATTGATATTCTGAGAACTTATCTAGCCCAGTGATATCTTGAGAGCGAGTTGTCTGATTCTTGATGAGTTGCATACTTCCTGGCCCTGAAGCGCCTTTCTTTTTGTAGAGCAATTTAAATCCTCTGATTATTCCATTTCTGTAGTGTTCTAGTGGTAACTGCCACGATGCTGTTACACGAGTAGAAGTAGTTGCAGTGAGATTAAAGCCACGAGGAGGCTGTGAAGGAACTGTTAATGAAAAGTAACATTACAAAAATGATGATAATCATAACAACAAATACAAGCACTATTTTACAAAGTAAAATGTTATTGTTCATCATGTTTCTTTCGGTAAATCTTTCGTCTCACAATGTAGAGACAAGCTATCAATCCTATGGATTGCCTGATAGACTGACTCTACATCATGCAACTAACGATTAAGCGTTCATTTACTTTTAATCATCATAATTTGCTTATTATTAGTACGAATTTACACATCAGTTTTTCCCCTTTTAAACTAGAGGGTGCTTAAAATTACAATTACATTTTAAAAAATTGGTTTTACGTAATTTAGTATCTCCAGTTAAATTTTGGTACAATTTCAAAATGAGTTTTTCGTAGAGCTGAATACTGAGTGTATTTGCCATGATATTTTATTAAAAATTTGTCATTTTCGAAAGTGGTCCTAAAATAAACATAAGGAACCAATCAAATAATATCACTTCTATTTCTAGGATGTGTCTTCATGTAGGAAAACAAATTTGACTCACAATATATTAGTGCCATTTGTTTGTTTTCATGAAATTCAGGAACAAATTTAAAAAGTAGATGTAGAATTTTAATTTTCACCTGGATGTATAATTCATTGGTAAATAGTAATGCGTTAACAGACGATGCTTACATTATTTTAACTACGTTCAAATAACAACTTTTCTGCTAAATCATAGGTTACATACAATTATAGTTTCAAGTTTAATTTTTCGCTTAACTTGAGAAAACCGTACGAAAAACGTATCTGGCCTCTTAGTAAATAGTCGTAATATTTGTAGAAGATAAAACAAATGGCTGTTCTAACCATCTTCTTTTGTTCTCTCAACAACCACAAAACTCTTTGGTCCATCTCCAACAGAAGTGAAGGCTAACACTTGAAATTCATATTCCGCGTACTTGTCAAGACCAGTAACATTTTTGTTTAAAGTTGATTGACTGTTGATAGAATGGATGGTTCCTACTCCTGAGCCTTTTCTTCCGTAAAACAATTTGAATCCTTTAATTATTCCCTTTCTGGAATTTGCTGGTAGTAATTGCCATGATGCTGTAACGCTGGTAGAAGAGGTTGCAGTGACAGTGAAGTTAGATGGAGGTTGTGAAGGAGCTGCAATTGGATAGTGTTTTAATAATCTTAGCTATTTGTAAAAATTTCTAAAAAAACTTGATGTTAAATCTTTACTTTTCATTTCAATATCATTGCTGTTGAGTAAACTTGTTCTTGTAACAGTGAATAGTTGCTACACAATTAACTGGATGTTCATTCTTTGGGTCACCTATTCATCACACTCACTTGATGAACATGCAACAAAATACAACAACTACATCATCATTCTTCTTCATCCCTCACATACCATCTTCCATTGTTCTCTCCACTTCAACAGAGCTCTTTGGTCCATCCCCAGCAGAAGTGAAGGCCAATACTTGAAATTGATATTCAGTATAATAATCAAGCCCTGTGACAAGTCGTCGTAATGTCGATCTATTGCAAATAGTCAACGTTGTTGGTGACCCATCGGAACCTTTCTTTTTGTAGAACAGTTTTAACCCTGTAATGTTTCTTCCATGTCTGGCAAAGGCTGGTGGTAGCTGCCAGGATGCTGTAATGCTGGTAGAAGAGCTTGCAGTCAACTTGAAAGCAGTGGGAGGTTTCGATGGAACTGAAATTAAAAAAACAACAATTGTAAAATGTATGCCTCCATGCTCAGTGGATAATTGATGTGAAATCTAGAAAAATAAATTCAATGAATCATTGTAGCAAACTTAATAAGCATAAGATATTCCTATCAGTATGGAGGATCATTAAAGGTGATGAATATATATTTTAGCTACTTTAAATACTTGTCCTTTAACATTGAGTGTGAAGTTGTTAGTCATGACATTAGCTTTAAACTTTGTTGCCAAGGCAACCTAAGAGGTTCCTGAATAATAATAATAATGATTTAATACTTATAATGCGCAAATTAACATGTGGATATGATCAAATGCGCATCACAACACTTTTCTGGGGACTTTGGCCGGACTGCATCAGCAGTTTACAAACAATCGAAGGAAACTTATTTGAAGACGCACCCTTCTCTCAATTCCCAGTAAACAGGCCAGACAATATCATTACAATCTCGTGAGAGGGTTCTTTATCGTCCCCTGCCCAACCAAATGAACTAATTAATAGATGCAGGAGAAAGGACCTAATGTTTATTTGTCCTTATCCGAGAAGACTAGAATGTCTATCCATTCCTTGATATTATAGAAAGGTGGCGCATTCTCCTCAGTTATTTTAAGACCTTGAGTGTTGGTCCGGCCGGGGCTCGAAACAGCGACCTCGACCTCCCTCACAACAGTCCAGCACTCTAACCAATTGAGCTAACCGTGAGGCATTGAAACAACAATGCTTCAGCATTTTTGCAGTCGTCTCCAGCATTTTGTTTTGATGTTTACAAAAAATAACTCATGTTAGTATAATCTAGCTTAGTTTTAT